ATTTCAAGACACGCATTTCAGACAATTTCAATTCATGCAATATGTAAAAGCTTTAAACCGCGAGGAGAAAAATCAACCTGTGACAATAGTTTAGAAGAAGCCCAGTTTCACGAGAAAACCACCAACTTGGCAACACTTCAATGGAAACCATTAGCTAATGATTTTAATGGTTAACATTTGCAAATGTTTGTAATGGTATTTGTAGTGGAAAGTATTAGAAATTATGTGATGCTTTCTATTGTGTGTGTGTTTTCCCCCCATGCAGGGTTGTTATAAATTTAGCTTTGCTTGGATATGTTTGTATTAGCTTGAATAGTTTTAGTGGAGAGGCTTCGCATGTTGTGCTAGGTAGTTTGTGGATATTTACAATACATTATTGCAACATGAATTGCCAGCTGTCATATGCTAAGCAAGTAGGCTAAACTGCAGGCCATCTGGAAACAAAAAGAAGACAAATGTTTAATTTATTCATTTTAGCTTCAGTAATAATGAGTTAGGATTTTAGCACTTCCCAAAGTCAATTGCTTTTTGAAAGCGTTGTTGGTTAAATGCCTGAAATAATGTCTGTGGTTAGCACAAACTCAAGATGTTTTCATGTTTTATTTTTCACCAATAAAATACATCAGTAACCCCTTTTAATTTTTTTAAGCTTTTACTTTTTTTCTTGAAAAAGCGATTGATAATAACAAGTGGCTAAATGGGACTACAAAGTTTGTCTGGGCAACCCGATCTCATGAAAGTGCATATAAATAGTACGCCAAATAAAAACGAAAACTTGTGGTATTGATACGCAAAAATGGACTTTGGCGTGTATTTGCTACACGATGGGTAGGTTTAGGGTTGTGGGGTAGATGCGTTTCATATGTACGCGAAAACTGCGTATCATATGCACGCCAACAAATTTCGTATCATATGCACGCGAAAACTGCGTATTATATGCACGCCAAACACATGCGTATCATATGCACGCCAACAAATTTCGTATCATATGCACGCGAAAACTGCGTATTATATGCACGCCAAACACATGCGTATCATATGCACGCCAAAGTCCATTTTTGCGTATCAATACCACGAGTTTTTGTTTTTATTTGGCATACTTTTTATACGCATTTTTATGAGACCGGGCTCATCTGGGACATTAAACATTACTTCTGATTAGCTTCAAAATGCATAAACATTGCATTCATTTGTGAAGATTATCATGAACAAAACATGTAAGAATCAAATAAACCTTTGTTTGTCACAGAGCTTATTTTCTGCAATAATCCATATGCCAATGTAAAAATCCTATTGGGTTTTTGTTGAGGGAAACAGGTGATGCGAACTTTCAGGTTGGCCTACAAAAATACATCTTCACAGCAGTGCAGCTCTATATAACATGATATACAAATTGCAACTCAAAACAATCTTTTTTACAGGTTTTCATGATTATTTTATGCACTGTATAAAATACCCATAAAATCCTGTCTCAGCCCATGGAATCATTTTGGGACAGGATTCTGTGAGGTGTAAGAGCTCAATTTAGCTCAAAGGGAATAATTTAAGATTTTAAAGGGAATTTGGACAGAATCACTGTTTTACTGCTGCTCACTGAGACGGCCAGCGATTCATTGAACGAGCCGTATAACATCTACTCTGCAATGGATATTAATATCCAAAGTATAGTGAAAACACTATTTATTAGCACAGTAACAAGATCGGCAGTTTAAGACATTAACTTATAAGCACAAAACACAAGATGCTTCTCTTTTCAATATAAATAAGGTTTTATTGGATAAATCTAAGACATATAAACTAATCTAACACATAAACACACGCATTCACACAAGTTGCAGAAAGAGAGAAAGTGAGGAAATAATTAGTTTAAGAGTATGAAAATGTGAAGTCCCAAGTTTACAGCAATATGTGCAATTGCATAGATCTGAACAACCATCAATCACTTAATTAACCCTCGCATTGAGTTCCTCAATGAGCTTGTTTACTTGCCCCAAAATTGACAATCTCCTAGGAATTGTCAATAAGTGTTCTTTTGTTTAAATGCTGTGAGCTACTCAAAGCTGATAGTTGGTTCAGGCTTGTGTCTTGGGCCCCTGTGGAATTCGGCTCCTCGTGTTTCAACCATGTTTTGACCAAATCTTAGATTGTCTGATTCGGTCTGATATCCTACAGAGGTGATGCCACAACATCGCCCCATGCTGGTCCATTCATCATGACTCTTGTACGCCCCCTACTGTCACAAACCTATGCCCTGTTGTGCGCTCTATCTGTATCTCTCTTTCTCACCCAGCCTCCAGCCTTCCCACTCCCCACGGAGTTCCTTAAACCCAGCATTCTGAGGATAAGTGATAAGCTATCTAATTATATTCCTCATTTACAGCCTGATCCATGGGCTGATTCTTCTGAGCCACCAAGCGCTGACCTTACCTCCACCAGCGGGGAATGATCTGAATGTATTTACCTTACGCCTGCAACTACACACACACACACACACACACACACACTCCTGCCTTTATCACAAGCTATCTTGTGGATTATGATTTTGTAGTCGTAGGGTAGCATGCACATAGCACGCGCGCATTAGGTATCACTGCAGCACTGGCGTCTAATGAAGGGGTACGAAGTATAACATTCCTCTCCACCAGCCTGATATTCCCCTCGCTACAGCACTCCATCTGCCTCATGCTCATCTAGATGCTAATTTATTCTAATAAGAGCCAGTTAATAAACTGCAATTACGAATCAGTCGAGAGACACCGCCGCACATGATTGGCAAGTGCATGATTGGTGGATTGGGTTGATTTTGTGTGTGCGTGTGCATCTAAGTGCGGCTTTTGGCAGGGTTAGGGTTGGTAACCCATTAAGCAGGGAAGTTACTGCGAATCTATCCTAGAGAAATGTTGTTTACCTTTACATCAGTGCATTGCCTTGTTTCGTGCAATTGTGGAAATATTGGGTGAGCCGTAGCATAAGTCAAAGTTCAAGGCTTCACGGTTAAAATTGAACACGAAGAGACGCTCCCTTATCTTTTCAAATAACATTTCTCCGCCATTGGCACTCTACCGATTGCAGCCTATAGAAATAGACTTGCAGTTGGCACGTCGAGTCTTATCTCCTCGGGAGAAATGAGGCCTGCCATAAATCAGTTCTTTTCAAGATTGAAAATGAAGACCAGACCCTCACTCCCTCACCCTTAACACAACTCTTAAATAGACCAGCCCACAGGAGACTCCTTTACGAGTCTGCCCATTCAAAGCGAATACAATACTGCTCTTTCCTTTTAAAGCCAAATTTCTAACATGCCATTGCAAGGCTTTAGTACTGTACACTTGATTGGCAGATCCTACAGATGAGAGCTTTAGCCTGCTCGGTTAAAGTTTTACACCGCTCTCGAGCGTCGACCAACAGGATTTGTCGATCTTGGAACTGGTAATGTGTATGTCAGCCTTGGTACGTGCTTCTGTAGCTCCACAGGGCGAAATTTAATGGCTACGCAAAAACTCTGCATCTTATTCACATACCAACAGTATGGATGTGCACCGGATTCATACATTTCAAGGCTGCTTGACCGATGCAACTGACTTCCTGCGTGCAGAAAGTGGGTGGTAAATAGTAAGTGATGTTTTAAAAATGATGTTTGTGTACATTTTCTAGTGAATGAAGATCAAATGATGAAGAAGAGTGTTATTATAGCCTGGCACACATCCAGACTAGTAGTATAGTCAAGTGCACTTTTAGCATTTTAAAGAGCCAATTCAAATGTCTGGAGTGATGCAGTCTCACTAAAACATAGCAGATTGCTGTAGTCTGCCAAATCTTCCAACAAAGACCAAAGATTGGGAATTGCATACATATTCATCTCTGCACCAATAAATGTGCAACACTTTATGCTTTACTGCCTTATAATATCTAATTACTTTAACTTGCACTAGAAAGTTTCTTAAAAATCTCGTGATTATGGGGCATGCACGTTCCTGAACATGATGAAAGCTTATCCTCATGGGGTGTTTACACTGTTTTCAACTAAAAATGGAAAAGTTTTCCTGCATTTTGTCTGTTGTCTAATTTATATGACAAAGGTGTTTTGGGGGCCTGAAAATTCAAACTTTTGAAAACAGGTTTCAACATGCAAGTTTTTGAAGACAATACTGTTATTATCCTGTTTAAACTACAAAAACGCAAATTTGTGAAAGCTGTGACATCATGTGTATTATGTGTTCACACTATAGGTATGTGCGCAGGCGCATAGTATTTATTTATATAGTGACATCGCCACCTACTGGCCTGGTATGTATAATACAGCGTTTTTAGTCATTTACAAAATTTTTATTTTTTTTTAATGTAAACTTTTCCATTTTTAGTACATCATTGTCACATAAACAAACTCTGAAATACCACTCTGGCATTTATTAGATCTGGGACAGTGTTGCGCACTTATTCCTGTCATGTACATAGACTCTCAAGTGGCCAAGACCAAATGTGGGTATTGGAACAGGCCCATAGTGTTCCTATATTTTAAACAGTAGAGCATGGCATTAGCAACGGCAAGGTTGTGGGTTCGAATCCCAGCTAATTTGTGAAGTGATAAAAATGTGTACCTGGAATGCAATGTAAGTCTGTCAAATGCATATATGCAAATTTGTATAATTTATTCTGCAAATAAACAATGCTGTTAGAAGGTCAGTTCCATTCAGTGCAACTTCACAAAATGCTCATGTCTCTACCTCTACAGTGCTATCTTGTACTTCAGAAACTGCAGGACAATGCGGAAAATATACATGCATATATGATATGAATCATTAGTTGGAATAGAATGTTGCCATAAAATATTAGCAAACATTCTGATGTTAATACTGGCTAAAATGCCTATTCTAACAAAGCAACACATGATCTTTTCTAGTTTCGAAGAGATTCCTATGACTCTCTCTGGCAACCAGGGAATACACAGTGGTAGCTCAGAGTATGTGACGAGTAACTATGTGCGTCTGTTCTCTCCTCAGGACCTCCGACCATCTCCAGCACACAGACCCATCAGGCTCCACACGGGGAGAAGGGACAGATCAAATGTTTCATCCGCAGCACACCACCCCCAGACCGCATTGTGAGTTACTCAGCTCTCTCCTTCCAGTGACTCAGCTCAGACAGGACTGCAGCTGTTGAGTGGGTGGTTGCTGTTGTCACATGGCTCGTGTGACTCCATTAGACTCAGTAAACACAGTCCAATAATGCATAACGCACTCATGAGTTACGATCTGTTTAATAAATGAAATTGCATCTCAAATCATTTGTTTCCTCTATATGAGTGAACGGGTATTAGACATGGCAGGCTTACAGCCCTAATTTCTCATTTAATGCATGCTTATGCCCTGTTACCACAGATCCAATTAGGATTTACCACTCTTAGATGAACTGTCTCCTCTCCGGGCCAATTTTTGATTCATTACTCACACTGTGCGTGTATGTGTGTGTTTGTGGCTGTGCGCATGGAAGTGCATAGGTAATCTCTGTGCGATGTTTACCCATGTGGCTTTGCTTTTATTGCCGTTCTATTTCTAAATGTCAGTTGAAAGGGAAGGACTGCTCCTGTGGTCCGGAACAACCAGTAATAACTTTAGAAGTGTAATAACGCCCATAAAGCAGGTGAAAACAAACACGGGTCTCTCTTTCCTTCTGAAAAGAACAGCTTGCACCAGCAAGCTGATTCAGAGTAGTTTATGTTGGTTAGTGTTGGTCTAGATCAGGGGTGCCCAAACTCGGTCCTGGAGGGCCGGTGTCCTGCAGAGGTTAGATCCCACCCCAG